AGCCTCTCACGCCAGTGTGCGTTGCTGCGAGCCGCGCCTTGACACGCGCGGCGCCCCGGCCCAGGTGATCGCCAGCAAGGAGGCCGGCAGGCTTCCGGTCAAGGTGCTCGACCACACCGCCTTCATGTTTATCAAGCACGGCAACATGTACGCTGTCGCCGTCTCTTCGGGCAACGCGCAGGCCGCGCTCGCCTTTCAGTTCCTGCACGAGCTGATCAAGGTGCTCAAGTCGTACTTTGGCGACTTTACGGAGGAGTCGGTGCGCAACAACTTCATCCTCATCTACGAGCTGCTCGACGAGGCGCGCGGACCGCGCCCCAGCCGGCCGTAGTTGGGCCTGGTTGCGGCTCCAGCCCTCTCTCACCGCGCCCTGCCCCGGCGCAGGTCCTCGACTACGGCTACCCGCAAAACACCTCGGACGACGTGCTCAAGATGTACATCACCCAGGAGGGCAACCGCAAGGCGATGCAGGACCGCGCCGGCGGCGCCTCCTCGGGCGTCACCATCCAGGCGACGGGCGCAATTAGCTGGCGCAAGGAGGGCATCAAGTACCGGAAGAACGAGCTCTTCATCGACGTGGTCGAGAACTGCAACCTGCTCATGTCGTCCAAGGGCACCATCCTCCGCAACGACGTCTCCGGCTGCATCATGGTCAAGTGCTACCTCTCGGGGCAGCCCGAGTGCAAGTTTGGGCTCAACGACAAGCTGCTGCTCGACAACGAGGCAAAGGCTGGCGCCCGTAGATGACTCGCGCCTCGGAGTTGGGGGCGGGGGCGTAGGGAGGCGGGGGTGGGGGCGACCGAAGCGGGCCTCGCGTGTTGCGGCGGCCGGGCAGGCTGGACTCTCCCTTGCCTGGCGAGGATATGGGCGCGACAGCCTCCTGCGCCGCCGCCCCGTAGGCCAAAAAGTCGAACCTGCGGCGGCCCGGCTCGGGCATCGACATCGACGACGTCTCCTTCCACCAGTGCGTCAAGCTCGGCAAGTTTGACATGGTGATTCGCCGCCCCAGCCCCGCCCGCGACCGCCCTTCAGACCGCGCGCGCCCCCTCGGCGGCGCTACCCGAGCGCCGCCACCCGGCCGCCGTCTCGACGCCGTCGGCGCGCCGCAGGACCGCACCATCTCGTTTGTGCCGCCCGACGGCGAGTTCCAGCTCATGTCGTACCGCATCACCGAGAACGTCAATTTGCCCTTCCGCGTGCTGCCCGTCGTCAAGGAGTTGGGTGCCGCGCCTGCTGAGGGCGCTCCCCGCTTTGCCCCGTGTAGCATCCGCAGCCGGCGCCTCCACGCCCCACAGGCCGGACGCGGCTCGAGATCAACATCAAGGTCAAGTCGATGTTCACCTTCAAGCTCTTCGCGACAAACGTGGTCATCAAGATCCCGTGCCCGAAGAACACCGCCATCGCGAACGTCAGCGCCGCTTCGGGCAAGTGCAAATACGAGCCAGAGCACGGGGGTGCGTTGTCGCTGCGGCGCGCGCCCTAGTCTGACCCCTCTCACCCGCGCGCTGCCTCGCGCCCTAGGCATCATCTGGAAGCTTCGGCGCTTCCCGGGGGACACCGAGTACTTCATGTCGGGCGAAGTCGAGATGATGCAGTCGGTGAGCGAAAAGGTGTGGAGTCGACCGCCGATCACCATGGATTTCCAGGTCCCCATGTTCGCCGCCTCGGGCCTGCACGTCCGCTTCTTGAAGGTCTTCGAGAAGTCGAACTACCAGACAATCAAATGGGTGCGATATATCACAAAGGCCGGCCAGTACCAGCACCGCATCTGAACGTCTCGACGACGCGGTTACGTGGGGGCGCGGCGTTGCCGCGTCGCCCATCGCGGCTCGGTAGAATCTCTCACACTGCTCTCGTACGTTCACTAGTTGGTGTGAGGTGTCTGAAAATACACGAACACGTGAGTTGACACGACACATGGCACATGCGAGTCGGCGGGCGCCGACAGCGACACCACTTTGGTCTTTGCACAGTGTGTGTGTCTGCTATTACCTATTAGCCTAAAGCGTTTAAAGGGTGTGGTGTGTGGACCCTGTGGACTGTGAGTTGTCAAAAGAGAGGAAATCGGGGGAGCGACCCACCTCGCCACAGACGGTCCCGCGCCTCGCCGCTAAGACGGGTACACGACCGCGGCTCGTGTGCGTGTACCCGTCTTTGTCCGGAGTGAATACTCCAACGCGCTCGTCGGTGACGGTGTCCTCCAACCTGCGCCACGCTCGGCGAACCTCGTTCCTCGACAGCGCCTTCGGTGGCATGCATCTCTTTGCGCCTGAAGCCTGGAGAGCAGCTCCTCTGCTGCTCACACACTCTGCACAGTTGACACAGCCTACTGTGCGGCTGCCACAGCTGTGACAGCGATGGGCTCGCCCTCACTGGCCCTCAGTCACTTGTGCTGCGGCTTGTGTGAGCGACACTGCTCGGCGACTGCCGGCACACTGTGAGACCATGGGTGTGAGGTGAAACCACGCTACCAGCGCGCTTGGTCACATCGGCCCCGAGGTCAGATCCTTCTACTCTGTTGATGACAAGACTTGTCTACTCGCTGGAGCCGAGCAGGAGGGCCCAGCGCACAACCCCTGGTCAACTCAGGGTCCACACCCGTATAGGGTCTATAGTGTATAGAGCGCTCGCGCGCTCTATCCCTCTCTAAATCGATCTAAAACTAAATCCCCTCTAATCTCTAGACTCATCCCTCTCGTTTTTTGCTCTGAGGAAGAGAGAACTCGCGAGACCTCTCTGCGCCTCGCCCTTGTGGTTGTGGTTGTGCGTGCACAAGGGCGAGCTCTAAAGGTAAAAGCCGTACCGTGCACTTGTGGAGCACTTGGAGTGCAGTCTGTCAGTAACCGCACGCCCAGGGCCGGGGAGCTAAGAAGCGCCCCAGAGGCCGGACGATTGGCATCGGGTTATGGGCTAGAGAGCCCCTTAGCCCTGGGGGGTGCGTTGCGCAGTGCAGTGTCGAGTGCAGTGTGCGAGCAGCGCAGCGCCAGGCGACCCGTGGCACGCCCCGGGCGGCTGTGAGACGGAGGCCCGCCGAGCGAGTGCGAGCTGCATCGGCGGCCATGTCTCCCGCAGCCGCGAGCGAGCAGCAGCTCATCGCGCATTTTGCGATGGCGTTTCTTTTTTCTCATCGAGAAATGCTCGCGTCGTCTCGCCTCTCGCTGTTGGCGCTCGTGGTGGTGGCCTCGTGCCACGGTGCGATCGCCCGGCCTCCTCGCGTGGCGCTGCTCCGTCTTCGCGGCGGCATCGAGGCCACCTGGACGCCCAATGGTGAGGCCCCGGCTCCCTTTTCCACGCGCGCGCGGCAGCAGATGGGCATGGACCCGGGCGCCATGGCCGGTGGCGCACAGCCCGGGCCAGGAGGCGGCGGCTCGAGATTGGGGCTGAGCATGGCTGCCGTGATTTACCTGTGCAACAACTGGACCATTGCCGTCGCGCTCCGGGCGCTGCTGATGAAGCTGCTGGCGCCGCTCCTGAAAGCCCTCGGTTCGAGGAGGCAGGCCGCGGCGCAGCAGGCGCAGGCCGCGGCGAAGAAGCAGGCCCTGGCGGCGCGCAAGGCGCGGCTCAAAGCCGCCGCCGCGCGGAAAACCCAGGCTGCCAAGGATGACGAAGAGGAATGACGAGGGAGAGTGGGAGGC